ACATGTTATAAATATAATTATCGGCTTGAGGCCTGACTTATTTACAAAAATTAAAGTCTGTTTAAAAAAAATAAGACAACAAAAATTTATCCAAAAAGAATATACAATCAACAACACTAGTAATTCCATAATTTCATAAATTCAATGTATACACGGACAATATAATATAGAACAAAATCATTCAAAAACTCTGTTTAAACGATAAAATGGAGTGAAATAAATTGAGGCGAAAGAGAGGGCTATACAAATAGTATAATATATATATATATATATATATATATATATATATATATATATATATATATATATATATATATATATATATACACTAGGTCAGTCTGCCTGAGAGACTCTAAGGCCAAGCTTTTGAATTGGAGCTTGAGTCATTTTTATTAAACGAGCTTTTACACAAGTTCAAGCCTCGTGCCAACAACCAATTTTAGACATGTAAGTTCAGGCCTTCACGAGCCGAGGCAAAGGCCCTTGAAAGGCTCCTGGTTCGTTTAACACCCCTAGCACCGGTCGTATAAGTAATAAAGTGGTAAAGTAAGATTGTCGATCCCACAAGGACTGATTACCAATCACTAATTTATTTACGCAATTAAAGTTGGATCTATCCTAATTGATTTAGTTGAGAGAATTAATTGTAAAAACAAAACAGAATTTTTAAACAACTTATTTTTGATTTTCAATATTTTAGAAATTAATTCAAGAATTAATTATGCGAGAAAATTAGTTTTAACTTTTATTAAAAGACGTAGCTAAGACTCGATTTCCCCAATATTTTCCTAACAAGTTTACCCATTCTTATAATTAACATTCAAGATCAAGTCCTTAACAATTCTTTCTAAATTTGATTACACCTCAATCCCTTGATAATTTAATCCTTTACTTCATTCAAAAGCCTAATCCCTTAGTACTTTTTCCTAAAGCAAGCATTAACGCAAGAACCACACAGTTATAGAATTCGTAAGTCTATCCCTAGATCATACAAACTCTAGCAATCAATCATTCAGAATCAATACACCAACCTCCCTGTTGTCATGCATGATTCATATGTTTATCTATGAGTGATTAATTCATAAACAAAGCTAGGCATAAAGAAACACATTGATTCTATAACTTTAAATCATGAATATAAATTATAAGAAAAGACAGACAACGTTTAAGAACCCATTGGTTCCATCTCGCCCTAACTACTTAAATGTATTTAGCCTAACATGTTCACAAAATCAAAATAAAAAGATGATGAAAAATAAAGAGAGTTCATGATAAAACTTGATTAATAATGTTCAATGACGAAGCTTTGATCTCCTTCTTCTCCTCTGCAATTACGCTCCAGAATTTCTTCGTTTCTGCCTTCGCCTCTAAGTTTTCGCTTTCTTCCGTCTTCCAAATGTCTTTTCAAAGGTTTCGTCTCATTCTATTTTAAGACTTAAAACTGGGCCTTTAATTTTGGGCCAGCTCGCTGAAACGAGTTGCTCAGCGAGCATTTTTCAGCGAGCTACAGAGCGAACTTAATTGAACGTCTAGCTCACTTTGCTCGCTGAAGCGAGCTGCAGAGCGAGAAAGACCAAATCTTTTTTAAATCTTTATTTTCCTATTTTTCTTTTATATTTAGCCGATGCCAACTGCCTTTTCCTAATCAAATTAGAGGTTTGTTCTTTTTAGTATGAAACAACCTGAAACGATAAAAAAGATTAGAATCTTTTCTAATTGTTGGCATTTTTTATACCCTTTAAGATTTTATTAACTAACACTATATTTTTAATCATATTAATTGTTATTTGAATTATATTAGACATAAAAAACATAGTGTCTTTAACACTTATCACTCATACAACATGAGAAATATTAAACTCTAATGATAATAATAATAATACAAATATGTTATTTAAATTATGTAAAAATATTATATCAATTTAAAAAATTAATTAGCATCTATATTAATTTATTTCAGGCAAAAAATTTTAATATTTTAATTTTTTTTAAAAAGTTATTATTATTCATAATTGAACAATTTAAACTTTAAAGCATATATTCAGAGACCAACTCGCCTCAAAAAATAAATAATGTGGGTATGAAAAAAAAAACATATATTCTTACACTCCTAGTCTCCTAAAGCACTTGTAGGCCATTACCAAAATTAAATAATGTCAAGTGAGATTTTTTATAGGATTTTATACTTTTTATGTTACATAAAATGAGTCTTCTTATGCCATAAAAAAAAAGATATGTGGAATTCATATATTTCAAAAAATTATATGTGTAACTCACATTAGCACGAAAATCGAAGTGTGTATAAAATTTTTCTTCTTCTTCTATGAGAAGTATAAAACCCCTTTTTATAAGGGCTTTACACTTCTTCTATTGCAGTAGAAGTGATGATATTCCCGTAGAAAAAAATGGTGGAGCCCACTTTGGTAAAAAAAGAAAAAGATAGCGTGAGGAATCTAAGGGTGTGCATGACAACCTTCCCAAAATCAATCTTTTTATTTTTATTTTTTGTTCCCGAGAACAGAAATGGATAGAAAACTTGTTTGGTAAAACCGGTTTATTTTTTTTGTTCTCGTGATAAACCGATTTAATTTTTGTGCTGGGGAATAGAAAAAAAAATCAGAAAAATTCTGTTTTTTTATTCCTGGACACAAAATGAGAAATATTTATTTCTCTCAATTGCTCTCCACCTCTACCATCATATCCACCACCACCATCATCTCGACACGACCGGCGCTACCATCATCGCCGCTATCGTTATCACCACCCCAATTACCGTGATGCCACCGCCACCATCACCACCACCTCCACCCATCACTACCACCATGCCACCGCCACCATCATTATCACCGTCACCGTCACCGCCACCATCACCACTACCGCCATCAACCACCACCACTACCGCCATCAACCACCACCACCACCATCGCAACCACTGCCGTCATCACCACGCCACTGCCACCACCACCACAATGCCAACTCTACTATCACCACCACTGTCATTGCGACAACCACTACCGTCACCACCACCACCATCGCCACCATTACACCACCCCCGCCACTACCATCACCACACCTTCGCCACCACTACTACCACTGCCACCATCACCACCGCCACCACCATCACCATTGTCACCTACCGCCACCGCTATCGCCGCAACCACTGCCACCACCACCACCATGCCAACGCTACCATCGTCGCTTCCACCAACCACCATCCCTATTACCATTGTCGCAGCCGCTGCCATCACCTTCACCACCACCATCTCCACCACTACCACCGCCACCATTACCACTGCCATCGCTGCAGCCACTGCCATTATCACCATGTCACTGCCACCACCACCACCGTGCCACCCTCCGTTGCCACCACCACCACAACCATACCATATGGAAAGGAAAGTGATGATCCGAATTTTTTTTATATTTAATAGAAATTATTTTGTATTATATTATTTGTTGTGTTATCAAACACAATTCTTATTCTCGGAATAAAAATAGAATTTGTTATTAAACACATTTTTTTCTCAGAAACTGTTTCAAGGCACATAAATAAAAAAAAAATTGTTTCTTTTTAGAAATAGTGTTAAAAAATGTAATGGTTGTCATGCACACTCTAAATGCATGCAATAGAAGAATAAAGAGAAGCTATTCTCCCTTTATATAGTTAGAAATGGCTACAAAATATTAAACAGATGAGAATCTTCACAATTTATTAAAATTTTTAAAATTTTATGTTTATTTTTTAATAACTTTAATATATAAAAAATTCACATAAAAAAATTCATTCTCTCCTGTCGTGTCATGGATAAGAGCTTTGTGGCCAATGTCTACCACATGACCACGTTATTGGTGGGTTTTTTTTTTTTAATTATGATGAAATAATACACATTTAATAATATTGTAAAAATATTAAGCGTTGATAATAAATTAATATGAATCATTTTAATATTATAGTATAAAAAAGTAAACACTCATTTTATTTTATTTTAAAAAATGCAAGTTTTTGATAAGGTTATCCTTCAATATTAGAAGACCAAAATGACAAAAAAAATAAAATAATCAAATGGTTATTTAATATCACTTTGTTTACATCAAATTTTTGTTTAATATAAGGATCAAGACGATCAATTTGTGGTGAAAAATTGATATCAGAGTATCAATTAGATGTACGTATTATTAGAAGACAAAAACTTATATTTTATGTGATAATCATTTATGGGATTTATAAATCTTACGTTCCTGCACCAAAAACCTTTTTGCAGATGAGATTGTAAAAATGTGGGAACCACATTTTTTTTTTTCTTTTCTCATCTCACTTACTCTTATTTATTGTCTCTGCCAAAAAAAATAAAAAATAAAAAAATTGGTTCAGCACTATAAAATTTAAAGTAAAGCCTACTTTAAGTTCCTAACAAAAAATATGATCCTCACTTTCGCCTTTCACAAAACAAAAAATCAACTTTTGATCTCTCTACAATTCTAATTCTTTAAAAATATAATTTCTCAGAAATTTAATGAAGAACCAATTTAATTCTTAAAAAAGAACTAATATGAATATTATTATTTGTAAGGAACAAAAGTGAAAATCATATTTTTTATTAGTGACCCAAAAGGAGCTTTAGTCTAAAATTTATAAACCCCTTCATTTTTTACCCCAAAACTAGGAGGGTGTAACATTAGTCAGTATTGTGACTAAAACTCGCAGTACTTGTTTTTGTTCAATCGTTGTAGGCGCCTTATACCCCGAAAACACCATGCTCATTACTTCTTGGAGTATTCGTGACTGGGAGTGTTAAGGGGTGGGTACTCAACTGATCACTTGATCAACCTAATTCAAGCGCCAAACAATGTGGGAACAATTAATAGGGAAACTGATGGAAAATAGATGGAGAGGGATTTGAGATGATATGAAATACATGTTAATTATATTGGGTCCGGGGAAAGTAAGATAACCCAATGGATTGCATCAAAGGCGTAGATGAACTCAATTACCCCCACTCCAACATAAATGGCACCGCGGCTCTTAAATAAACAAAACTGTTAAATTGCAACAAATGTAAAAGAAGCAACATATCTCAAGCAACACTTGCCAAAAAAAGAAGCTAACACTGAGACAGAGTAAACAAGGTTCTCAGATGAATAAGCTGATTAAATGATTAATCTTCTTCCTCTCCTTCATTCTCAGCAATGTTAAAGTACCTCAGTTCATAAACATTTCTTTCTTTGTTAGAAGCAATCACCCTCAGCCAGTCCCGGACGTTGTGTTTCTTCAAATACTTCTTTGTCAAGTACTTGAGGTACCTGGAACCAGATTAGATGTTAAAAAACATACGTTAGTTTATGGAAATAAACATGAATGAAAGTAATATAAAAAACCAAACCACAAAAATAAATCATGTAGAAAACACCGAGCCTAAAGTTGAAGATAGATAGGATGGTGCAAAATTTCAATCACTTTTTATTGATAGTACATCTAAATACCAAAAAAAGCAGTAAAGACTAAAATAATGAACAATAATAAATCAACCAAAGCATTTACAAGCAGGGGATTAAAAGCAAGGCAAATAGAGACATCTTCCTTTTTCGAGAGCATGCAATATTACAACTCAGACAATAAAAACCCAACAAAAATACCAATAACATCCCAAAATTCTATACATGTCAGCATACATGAGTAGATTTGTAGTTATTTCATGTTTAGCAATAGGGTTATCATTTCTCCATCAACATGAGATAAAGTTATCTTCATCAACCCTAGAACTCTGTCGTTTTAGGGATTGGGGGAATTAATAACAGGTGTTTTGGTAAAATTCGTACAACGAGAAACACATCGAAATTTCTAAAATATCATTCATTAATTCCCCAAACCTCCAAAACAATTTAGTTTTATGGTTGATAGAGATAAACCCTTAGCAATATTCATATATTAAACAAAAAAAAACTCCCTTCCGAAAAAATAATCATAATATAATGGATCGATAATAGTGTCTAATTTTGTATGCCAAATCACTATCCTAACCAAAGACCAGGAGACTACTCAATGAAAGAACAACGTAGTTCACCAATGATTCAAAACTAAACATAAATCATGCATGGCTTTGCCTTGTATCAAGATGTAAATGGAACTAACTACCTGTCTAATTAAAAGCAAGAATGAGAGTATGCTCACATAGTGACAATAAAAGGTTACCATTGCTGAAAAGCAAACGATTGCATCCCAAATTAATTTAAGTAAAAAAAAAAAGGAAAAAATTAGAAAATTACCGTTTGGAGAAGTTGCTGTCAGAAGTAACAGTGATCTTGGACTTCTCACGTGTAACAGAGACAGTATCGCCGAGAGCACCGGCCTTGCCACCAACCTTAATCCTCTCTTGAAGGAACTTCTCGAGAGACGCAATGTCCATGATCTTGTCCTCCACTGGTTTCGCGCAGTCAATGGTGAATGTCACACCCTTCTTCTTTCCCTTGGGACCAACTGCGCCTCCTCGACTCATTTTTTTGTTTCACTTTTTATTATGAACCTCTGAAACCACTCATCCAAAAAAGACAAAACAAAATTGAGATTCGTTTTCAGAATCTGTGGTTCTCTGTTCGTAGAAAAAGTAATAAACCCAATCGAAATTCATCCAAATATAACGAATAGGTCAAAGCGGGATTACAGAAAACAGCAGAGAGTAGAGGCAGAAAGGATTACCTTAAGGCTACACCAGAATGTGAAGAAGAATGCGGCGGTGGCAGAAACTAGGGTTTAGGATTTGGTTCTCTTTTTATATGCTAACTTAAAACGCGCGTTTCTTCATCTTTTCAAGCCCACCCTCACTTCGGAAAATTCGGAAAATTAAGATGAGAGTTTTTAATGTAAAAATGAGATAGGAAATTGTGACACACAAATAATGTTACGCACAATATTATGACCACATCTTAATCGTTGATTTCCGCCAATCAACGGTTATCTGATAACTTATCAAAGTAAAAACAATTCATCAAATAATTTTAACCATGACCTAGAGATCTTTTTAGGGTTTTATTAATCTCATGTTAAAAGAGATAGTTATCTCATGTCATAGAGACAAACTAGTGGACTCTACCACCTGAAAAAAAAAAAAAAAAAGTGACACCGTTATCGAAAGGAGTGTAGGAAAAAAAACTTATGTCATGTGACATAAGAATAGTTTTTTTCATCTTTTATGTGCTAAGGATGTTTGATACATTCCTAAAAAAAAAATGAGGACTCAAAGGCAAAAATATTTAATTGAAATGAGATAAAAATTTCATTATATAAAAAGAAGATACACCGAGTTAGGTGCTACAAGATTAAAAAAAAAACCCACCGCCGTCGTTGCTATTGAAAATTTTAACGTAGTCAAAGTATCACACTCAAACAAATCCCGGATTACTGATCAAAATGTCACTGTTCATCAACTTTTTTACCTAAATGCCACGCGAACAGTGTTATTTTCCAATCTGCCACGGGGCAAGTTCGCTTCTGACACAAGCAAACTCGGTTTGCTGACGTGTCACACTTTTAATGGATAACAAGTATCAAATTTAAAAAAAAAAAAAAAAAAATGAAGGTCGCCTACATGGTTGGCGAACTTAGTTAAAAACAGAGGTCCCCTGTGTCAGAAGCGAACTCTGACACCACCAGTGTCCTGACACATCATCATGCATAGTTCGCTACTGCTGCAAGCGACCTTGTCTGCGTGGCAGTTTAGAAAATCAGTTCAGGAGCGTGGCATTTAAGTAAATTTGTGTGGGAACAGTGACACAATGGTAAATGGTGACTGTTCCAACAAACCCCAAGGTTTTGGTTGAGCTATGATCGACTCAAGTAGAGCTTTGATTCTAAAATTCCTTAGGAAGAGGAAACAAACTATCATTGTCAGAGAACCTTATGCAATCAAAAGCCTTGGGATACAAACATAAATATTAAAGACATCAATTATCGTACATACAAAAAAAAAAGACATCAATTATCTGATTTGATTAAGAAATAAACTTCATAGTAATATATTATTTTCTATTTTTTTTGGTAAATATATTATTTTCTATTTAATTGTTGCTGTAAAAAGTTATTATTGCTTTTAACTTATATTCTTTTTTTTCCTATTCAAACCTTTATTACGTTGAATAAAAAAAAATCATGGAAGAAGAATTATTTTTAACACTTATTTACGTATCATACATATGCATCCCCGGGTTTCTAAAGGTAACTTTTTTCCAAACACACGTTTCCTAGCGACACCCCTTTTCTCTAATCTTGCTGCAACAAAGGGGCTTGTATCGTATCTCAGATAAGGATGAACTGCCATAAATTGCGAACAAATATATGAAGCAACTAGCACCAAAATTAATCCATTCCAACAAGAAAGAAATATATTCACTCTGCCACATGCAAGTAAACATTTCAATTTAGTATATTATTCTATGAATGAATGGACTACAGTATAAATTCAATTGCAGAATTTGCGATCATCATAGTTGTACTACACCAGGCCAGGCCATCGTGTATATCTAGTACTAAGATCGGAGATCCCCAGTACAAAGAATTCAAGGAACTCAGGTTACATTATATTTATCGCCCAGAATTCCTTTCTCGGCCTTCTGCCTTTCGATCAAAATATTCTACTGCTGCAGCTCCAGCTAATGCTCCCAGTGTAAGAGCCTGTGCATGCAACCTGAAATGAAATAGCTCAAGAAAATTAGCAAGAAGCATAAGCTTAAAATTATGCAGGGTGTCACATTGGGCAGTAAGGTTTACAACAATAAAAAACACATCACATAAAACTACCACAGTTAATCACATTTACAAAAAAACAGATATATGTTTATTACTTGCAATAGGAACGAAGACTAACCCATATCCTTAAGACAGTAGATTAATTGCAAATTGAAAAGCTTATCTTCATAGCGCAAGAAGGACAGTGAGAAAAAAGAAAACAGAAACGAAAACTCAGAGAAAAAATTTGGTCACCAAACACTACAGCATTATTTCGAGATAAACAAAACTACAATCAATCCGTGTCACCAACTAACAATTGACATTTCCCATTACCATCTGAGAAACAGAAATAAAGGCCTGTATTTCAATTCTCAAATCTGATTTTCATTATTTACATGATGGGAAATGTGAAATTGGCATTATATCACAAAGAAAACAAGGGAAATAGCATACATAAAGCACATTTCCAAAAATGTAAACCGCAAGCACAAATATATCAGGGAAACAAGGTGTTACATAGATATACAAGTTTTCAAGCTAAATTTAATCTCAAATGGTAAAGAAAGAGTGAAACTTGACCCAAAACACAATTTCTTTAACTTTAAGATGGCTCAAGTTTACACATATTGTGGTTGAAAAGTGAAAACAAGGTGCGAAATACAACAAAAAGGCCTATGTGAAACATATCAACCCAAACGTATCAATCAGTTAACACCAGACAACCTCATGGCTTATAGGATCAAAACAGAATAATTGGAAAACCTAATTATTCCACGGAACAATTCACTTCCAGCAGTTATATAGCACGAAATTTGTTAAGCCAAACATAGGTAACATGGACTGCATAAATTTTTAGGACCAAAGAAGGCTACTTGTACACATAACAAATCCATATAATTTTATATTTAATAAAACCCAGTACTTCAAAAGATGAGGAATTGTAACTAACCTCGCGTGAATGAGCTTAACACTGGTTTTCATGTTGGGTCGAGACCAATTGTACGCAATTGAACCCGTAATACCACTAAGCCACAAACACCCTGATCCCAATATCCATCGCAAAAACCACAAAGATCGAAAACAGAAATTAATTATATATATATTTCAGAAGAAAAAAATCAATAAAATCAAACACCAATACTTTGACCCACAATCATTAAAAAAGAAAGAAAGAAAGGAAAAACAAAATATGGTTCAAAAGAATAAAACGAAATCAAATAGGGAATTGAGGAATTTACCAACAGCACGGAGCTTATGCTCGACGACCCATTTCCTTAGAGATTCAATTTGGGTCTTAGCATCCGCCATTGTAGCGCGTGAAAGATAGAGAGGGTAAAGGGAAACGAGAATTTAGAAGGTAATGAAAGGAGAGAATAACAATTAACAACACACGGTGACAGGACAGGTTAAAGGTTTTTGCTTTATATATATGATATTGGAAATTCGGAGAGAAAGAGGAAGCAAATAAGAATTTGTAATTGTGTTGTTATTTATTAGAGATGAGGCGGCGAAACAAGGATTAGCGTGTTGAGTACGCTGACGCACGTGATTTATTTATTTATTTGAGAGATGTTTGTGCACTGTATTTTGTTGCCCACTGTATTCCCAAACCAGGTTTTCTGGTTTGGTTTGGAAACGGAATCAACCAAAAAGAAAGGAAAGTTACTTTTGTGGCTTTCAAAGGCTTTAAACTTTAATAAACGTGTGATTTTTTCAGAACTTTTGTGGCGATGACAATTTTTTATCCCCTTAAAAAATATGTATATAACGAATAAATATACAGGCTTTTCCTATATTAAGAGAAAATTATTTCTTCGGTCGTAAAGTTATTTTCAATGAGCTTAAAACGACGTCGTTTTGAGTTATAAGATTAAAAAATTATAATAATAAAGACTAATATAACCTTGCAATATATTAGAATTACAAAAATACTTTGATTTTCGTCTCAAAACAACTTCGTTTTGGGCTCACCGAAGATAACTTATCTCCGTTGATTTGAGAACTCTTTTACCCTAATTTTAATTATGGATAATATTGTACGAATGGTAATTATCATAAATTGAAAGCTTTTAATTAAAATGTGGAAAATTAAATAGTTATAGCTTTATTCACTAATATAAAAAATTATTTGAAAATTTAAAAATAAAAGTAATAATTTTATTGTTAAATTACACGTGAGAAAATCTATCCTAATATTCTTTTATCATTTGTTTGTGAATCTCGCTAATTATACAAGCCCATTATCTATAGAGTAGGATATTGTAACAATCAATTAGATTATTATTAATCTTATTATCAATTAATTTCACCGTTAGATCGATTATGTTAATCCAACAGTTATATTTATTTTCATCTTTGTATGATTATGATTCCCTAGATTTAATGTGAGAGAAATCATAACCATACAAAGATAGAAATAAATATAAAGTATTAAATACGAGAAATTATAACTATACAAAGATGAAAATAAATATAACCATTGGATCAACATAATCAATCTAACAGTGAAATTGATTGGTAGTAATATTGATAGTAACCCTAATTGATTGTTACAATATCTTACCCTAAATTTATATTAAATTACCCAATAATAAAAAGTGTGTTAGGAAAAATATAATCATTCTCACAACTATAGATAATTTTAAAATAAATTGCTTTCTAAGTCAGTACATTTTGATTGAATTTCAAATAAAACTTTATACTTCGAAATTTTGTTATAAGAGCATACATTATTTTTTAATTTAGCCTTTTATAAGTATAAAGTTTGTGATTTAAGTTCTTGACAATTGATATATACGTAATCATAAGGCATATGATAACACACAATAACTTTCACGCAACAGGATATTGTAAGTTGTAACTTGTAACAACCAAATAATATTATTATTATATCTGAATCTTTGATTTTCATAAATCAATTATTGTCATTTCATTGTGAATTAATAATTAATTATGAATTTAATTTTTAAAAATAATAATAATTAATTAATAAAAATCAACGATTAAGATATAATAGTAATATTGATAATAAGATTATGTGGTTGATATAATATCTTATCTCTCAATTTAAATTGCATAAAACTGTTAAATCAATTACCCGAGTCTAAACGGCTTTTAACCCTTGCAGAAACCTATCTGAAGAGTTGCATTAAGTAAATTTCATTAAAAATTTCTAAACTATATTATCTTTTATTTTTTTGAAAAGAGAAAGATTTCCAAAAAAAAAAAAGAGAAAGATTATATTTACTATCATTCTTTACTACCAAATTTTAATCGTTGATTTCATTAATCTAACAATTTAATTTATCAAGTGACATTTATTAATTAATTTTTAATAAATTATGACTGTTACATTTTTTTGTTACTACTAAATTAATTTTAAATGTTATCAAAAAAAAAAAATTAATTTTAAATTAATTTAAAATTATTATTAATTTAAAGGGCTAGCCGTGAGCGTGTCACCACAAGAGTTGTGCACTGTGGCACATATTCTCCCTCAAGAGTGAAGAACCTGATCTTCCAGTTCGTCTTTCTCAGTCTCTTCGCATCTCAGGTATCCATTCTCTCTCATAATTCTCAACGTTTGATTGTTGCAAGATTTTTTCAGTCACATGCTTGTTTTTTTCCTCTAAATTTTCATTTTCATTTTTTTTTTTTGTTAATTCCTGACTGGAAGATAGGCTTTGATTCTTTTATTGCTATTTTTCCATTTATTATTTTCAATAACTTATATGAGCATGGATAGATCGAGCTACTCTATAAATTTTAGTTTAAATTTCATTAGTTCGATTCAATAGAAGCTGTCAAATAAAACTGAAGATACTAAAAGGAAGAACAAAGCATAACATAATTGCCAACTCAATAGAAGCTATTAGGTTCCCTAAACAAATGAAATTAAATAAATATAATCCTGATGGCCATATGTAATATTTTCCTAAAACAGATTAGTTGTTGTCTATCACACTTCATTTCATTTCCTTTGCCCTGTTTGAGACAGCACAACCTTGTGTGTATTAAATTATATGATTATTTTAGTAAATTTTTCTTAGCACTACTTTGTCAAACTATGTATATTTTTGTTCTGTTTTAGCTGAATTAACTCAGTAGTTTGCATAGTGTATGGGAATTTATAATGGTAAAATGCTTAAGCGTCTAATTTAAACTGTGCTTTAGGGGAAAAAATGAGTGGTCGGTCAAGTCGCACAATTTATGTTGGCAATCTTCCTGGTGATGTTCGTTTGAGAGAAGTAGAGGATCTTTTCTACAAGGTACCTGTATTTAACATCATTATATGTACTGTTAAGTTCTATACTGAACTATATAAACATAGGTTATTGTTATGGACCACTTAAGTGGTTCTCACTTTCTATCCCCACTACATGGAGCGTCTCACTCCACCACTCTCCCCTAACTTCCATCCACTACAAATAACCACCCACTAGACATTGCATTGTACCATTAAGTCACTTGCAAACTACCCACTAGGGGCACAACCTCCTAGTGCATTTAATCTATATATGACCCCCTATAGCTAACAAGTAGAGGGATGATATGATAACTTATATTAGCATTCATACTTGCCACCATGGCTACTACCTTCATACTTGTGCCCAGAGCACATCCATTGATGTTCACTTCTGAACAGTTATTATCATGTTTATTGTTTTATTAACATTTGGACATGTTATGGTTTGCTTAGCAACATAATCATGGTAACAAAACGTGGTAAACAATCCTTATTGTTCTCTATCAATTTTTCAATTGTCATGTACCATTTTCCCTCTTCGTTTACTCTCACGGTATTCCCTTACCAGCACAGGATTTCTTTTGAAATATAGTTGTAGATGAATAGTTCTGGATTTTTATTTCACCAATTGTTTTCTTTTCTGTCTAATTGCAGTATGGTCCAATCATAGACATTGATTTGAAGATCCCTCCAAGACCTCCAGGTTATGCTTTTGTTGAGGTATATTTAGATTTCATTTTGTAAGGATGTGAAGGAGTATTTATCTCATGTTTTTTTGGTTCCTTCTTCTGTCTTATATATATTGAATACTATATTGCAGTTTGAGGATGCTCGTGATGCTGAAGATGCAATTCACTATCGGGATGGTTACAATTTTGACGGCTTTCGATTACGAGTTAGTACACTTTCCTTTTCTTCCCTTTTGTCTTTTTGGTCTCTATGCAACACGCTATCTAATGTTCTTATAAACTTTTGATGGCTATTTGTTACTGTAGGTTGAACTTGCACATGGTGGACGGGGATATTCATCATCAGTAGACCGTTACAGTAGTTATAGTGGTAGCAGTGGTAACCGTGGAGTTTCCAGGCGTTCTGACTATCGTGGTATGTATTGTTTCTAGATATAGGTTTTTTTTAATGTGATATCTTTGTGTAGTAATTCATTCTTATTTCTTTGTTTTTACTTTCTATTTGTACCTGACAAAAAAATGTTTTTGGTTGACCCTATTTTGTTCTGCTTGCAGTTCTGGTCACTGGATTACCTCCTTCTGCTTCATGGCAAGACCTGAAAGTATGGATTGTTTCTTTCTTATGATAATTTAATATACGCCACATTTTTTTCATGCGATGACATTTTATGTTGAAGTCATTGTATTTGTTGAAAATTAATGAGCAATATTTGCTGATTCTGAGTTTTAAATGATTAGGATCACATGCGTAGAGCTGGTGATGTGTGTTTTTCTCAAGTCTTCCGTGAGCGTGGTGGTAAGTGGATTAAGATCTAATATGTCTTCAGTGTTATTTGACTGCACAATGGTTAGTGCTGTGGGCACTTGAGCACATAGGCACTTGCGTTTTCAGCCCTTAGAAAGGAGAATGAAAAAAATAATACTGCATGCAGAATGAGGAAAACTTTTCTTCCTTTGTGCTCGCCTGTGTTGTCCTTTCAAAATTGATAAGAGTTAGTGTAATTTGCTTTCAAAAGTACAGAGACAGTTTCTGCAATAATATTCAGATCTTGGGTTACTGAGAGATATACATAAGAAGGCTTTAATATGATGGCTTTGTCAAGAAGTTGTTGAGATTGATGTGTGGATGGGCTCTAGTAAGGGCTAAATAGTAAAAATACTCAATTATTCCACACTAAGCACATATTTGGTTTATATCAATTTTTACGTAAACAGTTTTCATGTAAAAGTTCTTTATGCAGCATTTTGATGATAAGCTTTTTTAAAAACAAAATAAGCTAATCCAAGCATGGTAGTAAAGTGTTTATTTTGGTTGTTATCTTTTATCTTTTCTGGTAATTTCAAATGGTGATGTTGATGTAGGTGCATGATTTATTTTTGGGAACAATAAGTCTAGGAATCAATGCCAATTGTGTTTTCATTGCAGCTCCCTGTAATGTCATGTGTTCATAGGATTTTTGTGCTTATATATATGTTTAAATGTTGACAACATAATTCTTAAACTTTGTTATTATGTAGGCGTGACTGGGATAGTGGATTATACCAATTGTGATGATATGAAATATGCAGTAAGTGTTTTAAACGTGTATCATCTAATAATTATCTAGTTTTGTGCTTTACTTGCCCGGCCCACTTGAGGTGGTTTTTTTGTATGACTGTCTTCTTTTTAACTTGTACTGTGGGTGAATTGTGAATTTGCTTCAATAACTTTGTATTGTCTTACAGATCAGGAAACTCGATGACTCAGAATTCCGAAATGCCTTTTCTCGGGCATACATACGGGTCAGTGGATGTTATATTTGGCTACATTCTGCTTTCTGTTTTTGTACTTGCTTTCCTTAACATATCTCTCTGGTTGGTCCAGGTGAGGGAATATGATCGGAGTTATTCTAGGAGTCCCAGTTGTGATTCAAGGAGGAGCTATTCTAGAAGCCCCAGCTGCAGTCCATATATGTCACGAAGTCGAAGCCAGAGCCGAAGTAATAGCTATAGTGGCAGGAGCAGAAGGTTCACTTTGGTTGCATTAAAGTATGGTTTGGTGTGTATTTTTGGTAAATTTGAAGAGTTGACTAAATGTTCATTTTTGCAGTTTGACTCCAAAAGCAAAATTCTCTCGGCGTTCATTATCTCCTTACAGGTCAGTTTCTACCTAGTCTTGATATGTGTGAGTTTTGTGCATTGTGATCTGGACTTTTAAGGTTTATTTTTTACTCTTCTGCATAGTAGGTTAAACTGAATTTGATTAACCTTATTAGTGAATAGGAGTGTAACGTCATTAATGTAACTAGTGTGTTCTACGTGGAGTATACGTTTTTAACAACTTTTTAAGTAGGTGGTATCAAATAGTCTATTGAAAATGTAGACATGTTTTTCATCTACGGTGGATCCAATTTTTTTTATTTTTTGGGTGAATTGGTAGATCCAAATTCAATGCTTGATAATTTTCTATAAAATTCATTGGTGCAAAACTTTTTGCCTTTCCCCCTCTGGCTTTGTTTGTGTTCAACTTAATGATGATTCCCATGGCACATATTGTTAGGAACCCCCTATTTAGGAAAGTAGGTTAGAAGAAATAAGGATGGGTCAATGATTTAATTGGGTAGGCCCTATTAGTAATAGTAATTAGAGTTAATTGATATTGTTAGATATTTTAGTTACAGTTATAAGATATTAATTTATATTGTTAGCTATATTAGGTAGTGTTATCTGTAAGGGTGTTAACGGGCCGAGCCGAGCCGAGCTTTGGTCTTAAAAGGCTAAGCCTGTGTTTAAACGTGTCAGCTTGATCAAGCCTGTTACCTGTTATTAATATAACTATCGGCCTGTGGCCTGACTTATTTACAAAAAACGAAAGCCTTGTTTAGCCTGTTTAAAAAAATTAAGACAACAAAAATTTATCCAAACAGAATATACAATCAACAAAACTAGTAATTTCATGAATATTCATAAATTCAATTTATATCCAAACAACATAGTATAAAACAAAATCATTCAAAAAGTCTGTTTAACCAATAAAGTGGGGTGAAATGGATTGAGGAGAAAGAGAGGGCTGTTACAAATAGTATAAAAAATATAAAATATAAATAAAAAATAATATACTAGGCCAGCCTGAGAGGCTTTAAGGCCGAGCTTTTAAATTTGAGTCTGATGCATTTTTATTAAATGAGCTTTTATACAAGTCGAAGCCCTAGTGCCAACAACCAATTTTAGACATGTAAGCTCAGGCCTTCACGAGCCGAGCCAAAAGTCCCTGAAAGGCCCCTGGTTTGTTTAGCACCCCTAGTTACCTGATATTAATTGATATTATTAGATATAGTAGATAGGGTTACTTGTCATTAATTGATTTGGTTAGATATAGTAAATAGAGTTATTGATTTTAGGGTGTTGTAAATATTTGTTATTTTATTATTATTAGTATTTGTTGTATTGGGCCAAGCCCATTAGGTCAAGTATTAGGGTTTTCATTCTCTATAAATAGAGACCTCTTTGTACAGATTATTTACACAATTCAATACTATTTCAAATACCCTTTTCTTTCAAGTTGGTATCAGAGCTCTCGATCCTGAGGGCTCTGCTTCCGCGCCTACGAAACCTTTTTATTCTTTTTTACGTCTCTCGCTGCCATCAGCCGTCACCGGAAATTTTTTTCGGGGGACCTCTTGGACCGAGAAGACCATTGCTTCACTGTTCCTCTTTCTTTTTCTTGTCTATTACACAACAAGAAACAAACGTTCACAGAAACCATCGTACAGAACCTGTTCATCGTGATTGGACCCTTTTTCCGGTGGATTCTTCACTCCGAACAGCCACAGAAACCATCGCGCTCGCCGGACGACCTTTGCCTGAAAAACCCAGCACCATCGGAGGTCAGACGCGCCTCCACGCGCTGCCCTTGTCTCTGCGCGTGAATCCCACGCGCCGCCAGCTTCACCGGCGCGTGACGGTGGTTCTCAGCCGCGGACAACCACGGTTCTGATCGTCTCTCCAAGCCGGCTCTGGATCTGTGCTCTCCACTTTGATCGGACATCGTTTGGTATTTTTTTCCGAATTTCTTGGCTTCTTGGAGTTTGTTCTTTCACCAATTTCTTGCCTCCGACCAGATCTGACGTTGTTTGGTATTTGTTCCGGCCACTGTGTTACTGTTTCGGCCGCTGTGTTACTGTTCCGGTCAGATCTGACGTTGTTTAGTATTTGTTTGTGATTTTTTTGGCTTCTTGGTGCTATTCTTTGACAAGTTTTGTGCAGTATGGCCTCTTCTCAAAGGAGTTCCTTTACAAAGTTTTCTGATGGTGCAACTTCTGAACCTAAGAGAGATGATCGATGGTGTTCTTATTGTAAAAGAACAGGTCATATCAAGGATCTATGCTTTCGCCTCCACGGAAAGCAAACTGTCTTAGAAAAGATGAATAGGATGCATGGTCAACAACATTTTACTTCCTCTAAAATAAATTCTGCATTTCGTCCAGATGAGTTGGAACGGCTCCGAACCCTCTTTGATTCTTTGAGTAAGCCATCTGATACTAGTACTTTGACTATGACTGGTATGAGCTCCAAAACTTATTCTTTCATTTCTTCATGTAATGATTTTAAACATTCTTGGGTTGTTAATTCTGGTGCTACTGATCATATGGCTTGTTGTGCTGACTCCTTTACTTCTTATCATCCTTCCATTAGAACTCATACAATAGCCGTAGCTGATGGCTCTCATACATCAGTTGCGGGTTCTGGTGACATAAACTTACAGCAGTCCTTACATCTTAAGGATGTTCTTCATGTTCCTAAACTCTCCACGAATCTTCTTTCGATTCATAAAATTACAAAAGATTTGAATTGTACTGTAACCTTCTATCCTACCCATTGTGTTTTTCAGGATCTCGCCACGGGGAAGACGATTGGTAGTGCTAAAGAGCAAGGTGGGTTGTACTATCTGGTGTCACAATCTTCTGCAAATAAAGTAACAGATCACATCTTGATGTCTCATGGTCAATCAACTGCTGATTCTTTGATTTGGCTTCATCATAAGCGCTTAGGTCATCCTCCATTTAGTTTACTCAAATCTTTATTTCCGTCATTGTTTTTGTCTAAGTCTGTTGAGTCTTTTCATTGTGATGTTTGTGAATTTGCTAAGCATCATCGTGTGTCTTTTCCTTCTAGTATTACTAAGAGTGTTGAACCTTTTGATCTTATTCATTCTGATGTTTGGGGTCCCTCTAAAGTCCCTCATGCTTCTGAAAATAGATGATTTGTTTCTTTTATTGATGATTGCACTCGTGTAACTTGGGTGTACTTAATGCATGAAAAGTCTGAGGTACCACAACTGTTCTTTCAATTTTATAAAATGGTTGAGACCCAATTTGGTAAAAAAATCAAGAGACTAAGAACAGATAATGGTACTGAATATGTTAATCACAGTTTTTCCCAATTTATAAGAAATACGGTATGATTCATGAACTTACTTGTGTTGACACCCCCCAACAGAATGGGGTTGCTGAAAGAAAAAATCGTCACCTTCTTGAAGTGGCTCGTGCATTAATGTTTCAGACACATGTACCCAAATACTATTGGGGAGATGCTATTCTTACTGCAGCATTCTTGATCAACCGTTTACCCACTCGGGTACTTGACCATGTAAGTCCTATTCACTCTATGACTTCTTTTTTCCCTTCTATTCCAATTATGAGTCTTCCTCCACGTGTGTTTGGGTGTGTTGCTTTTGTTCATGTTCATAAACATCATCGCAGTAAGTTGGACCCTAGGGCTATTAAATGTGTTTTTCTTGGTTATGCTCCTGATAAGAAGGGCTACAAGTGCTATCACCCTAGTAGTAGGAAATTTTTTGTTTCTATGGATGTTACATTTCAGGAATCTGAGTCTTTTTTCCAAGGTCCTCATCTTCAGGGGGAGAATCCTTCACCAGAAATCTCATCACCTCCCTTCTTTGAGTTTGAATCTTCAGTGTCTACTCTTTTACCTGTGTCAATGTATCCTCCTCTTGGTCCTGTTCCTTCTGTGTCTGATCCTCCTGTGTCTGATCCTCCTGTGAGTAATCCTCCTGTGACTGATTCTCCTGTGATTGATACATCAAGTACACCAGAGAAACGGAAGATTATGACACCTGAGTTGGTATATCAAAGAAGGAAACAGCCCACATTGCCTCAGCAGCAACCTCAATCGTCTGAACCACTGGTAAGTCCTGAATCTCATATTTCTGATCATGATGTTAATACTTCTGATGACTTACCCATTACTACTGATTCTGATGATTTACCCATTGCTCTTAGAAAAGGAAAAAGAGCTTATCCCAAGAAATCTTATCCTTCCTGTCCCTCTTGTACTCAATACCCTATCTCCCTTTTTGTTTCCTCTGCTAATCTTTCTGTGCAGCACAAAAGCTTTGTTTCAGCACTAGACTCTATTGCAATCCCAAAATCAGTACATGAAGCCTTGAAAGATGGGAATTGGGCTCAAGCCATGCAAGAGGAAATGAATGCGTTGAAAAAAAATAAAACATGGAAGGTTATTGATAGACCTAATGGAAAGAAAGCAGTAGGGTGCAGATGGGTTTATGCCCTTAAATATAATTCTGATGGAACTCTTGAGAGATACAAGGCTCGATTAGTTGCCAAAGGTTACACTCAAACCTATGGCATTGATTATGAAGAGACATTTGTTCCAGTTGCAAAGATGAATACGGTGAGAGTCTTGTTATCCCTTGCTGCCCATTACAATTGGGATATAAATCAATTTGATGTGAAAAATGCTTTCCTCAATGGTGAGTTAGAAGAAGAAGTCTACATGGAAATCCCGCCTGGTTTTGATTTTGTGAAGGGAGAAAATAAAGTTTGTAGATTAAAAAAGGCCTTGTATGGATTGAAGCAGTCACCTCGTGCCTGGTTTGGAAGGTTTACTAAGGTTATGATGACCTTAGGATACAGACAGAGTCAAGGAGATCACACTCTTTTCTTCAAGCACTCCCATAATGGGAAGCTTACTGTGCTCCTTGTATATGTTGATGATATTATTATCATAAGTGATGATTTTGTAGAAAAACAGATTCTGCAAACACGGCTTGCCTCTGAGTTTGAAGTCAAAGACCTTGGGAAACTGAGATATTTCCTAGGGATAGAAGTAGCTCATTCAAGGAAAGGAATTTTTATTAGCCAGAGGAAATATGTTCTTGATCTTCTCAAAGAAGCAGGAAAGCTCGGGTGTAAACCCTCTAATACTCCTATTGAGCAGAATCACAAGATAGGCTATGAAGAAGAGAGTCCTCCAGTTGATAAAGGACAATATCAACGGCTAGTTGGGAAATTGATATATCTGGCTCATACTAGACCAGATCTAGCTTATGCTGTTAGTGTTGTCAGTCAGTTTATGCACGATCCAAAGGAGAAACACATGCAGGTAGTAGAGAGAATTCTGCAGTATCTTAAAGCTACTCCTGGTAAAGGATTGTTATTCCGACGTGATGGCAATCTCTCTTTAGAAGTTTACACTGATGCTGATTATGCTGGATCCATGACTGACCGTCGTTCTACCACTGGTTACTGCATGTTTCTTTGCGGTAACTTGGTGACATGGAGAAGTAAGAAACAAGATGTGGTCGCCAGATCAAGTGCAGAAGCTGAATTTCGAGCTATGGCTCAAGGCATTTGTGAGTTACTGTGGCTGAAAATTATACTTGATGATCTCAAAATAAAATGCGAGGGACCTATGAAGCTGCTATGTGACAATAAGTCCGCTATTTGTATAGCTCATAATCCGGTTCAACATGATCGGACTAAACATAGAGGTCGACCGCCATTTCATCAAAGAGAAACTTGATAGCGGGTTGATTACCACTCCATACATTCCCACTGGGCGTCAATTAGCTGATCTATTGACAAAGGGACTTCCTTCAGACAGATTTCAAGAACTTACTAGCAAGCTGAGAATGATAAATATCTATTCCTCAGCTTGAGGGGGAGTGTTGTAAATATGTGTTATTTTATTATTATTAGTATTTGTTGTATTGGGCCAAGCCCATTAGGTCAAGTATTAGGGTTTTCATTCTCTATAAATAGAGATCTCTTTGTACAGATTATTTACACAATTCAATACTATTTCAAATACCCTTTTCTTTCAAGTTAGGGGATGTTATTTCAAGATTTGGGAGAATAGTCCTCTAGGTTTGCAGTAGGTTAAAAGGAAGGAGAGGGTAGAGAGGGAGGCACGGAGAGACTAAAATTGAGTTTTGGGGAGAGACCAGGCTCTTGAAAACATGGATGTCAGTCCCTGTATTCACTTTTTTTTTTACTTATCAAATAAATTTTACCTTTGTTTTCTCCATAAATTTTGTAAAGTCTGGTCCAGTTCTATCAACTGGTATCAAAGTTGGACTAGAACTTAGAAAATTTGATAACAGTTAGCTGATTTCATTTTTAGATTTTTTTTTTCTCTCCTTTGAGCTTCAACAATGTCTCTGCGTTTCTGAAAGTTTTTCTTCGCTCTCACACCTGTATATAGGTGATTTCAATTCAATTGCTCTATTCCTTTCACATTTCTCCTGATTCAGTTGATTTCCGCTAGTTGAGTTTTCGACTGTTATTTCTAGATAGGAATGAAAATTCTTCTGAACATCTCTATTCTTATATGGAAATAATATCATCCCTTTATTCTACATTTAAATAAGATTGTCTAGATCCTTATTGAATTGCATTATGGATTGTGCTTTTTTGTTTTGCTTTTCTAGAATATTATGATATTCCTAGTTGTGTCTCAAATTTAATGCACGACTCTTTTTTATGCAAGTTGGAGGGGACATCTCATTTCCTTATAATTCCAATTAATTGTCTGAAAGTGAACTTTTTATTTTATGCCATCCACTTTGTTCTTCTCATAAAGTCTAATGTTGTACCATAGACTTATCAGCATAATGCTTCATACGAGGAAAGGTGGAGGGGGGGCATTGGTAAAGTGGATCGTCGGCTTGGCCACTAATTATACAATGTTCATTAGGGTTGACTCTCTTGTTTTTTAGATGTGGCCTTTTGCGGCGACCTGGGAACTGCATGTTAGGATCTTGATGGCATGTGGTGCTCAAACGCCTGCAACTTTGTGGTCTGAGGTAATACTGTTTTGTTGATGAGCACCTGTGGACACCTTAATGCTGTGACTAATGGTGACGGTAATGATATATTGATTAAAGACATGGTCTGTGATTATTGTAGACTGGATGACAGTATATGGATGAGTTGCAATCTAAAAGCTGGATCACCCTGAACTAAAATGTTATTGGTACTAACAATTGCAAATCAGCAGTATTACAATTCAAAAACTACCACATAACCTGTGCTCTAAGTTCTGGGTCAATCTTATCCTTCTCATTAGGATTTCTCTTATTCTATATTGGGTTGGCTATATCTTCCCTGTAATCGGTTCAAGGTATCATGCACTGCTGACAATAAAAAAAAAATTAGCACTTGTTGAGACTATAGACATGTGATACTGGGTTCAATTGCTTTCCCAGTTGGATGCTGCTCAAGATTTGTGGTAGATTAATTTCTTCCTCTTGGTTATTGTAACTTTGATGTGGAATATTAGGCTTTTTGGTCATTCTGAATATTGAATTGAGTTTTGTTCATTAAATTTTTTTGCAGGTCCCGGTCAAGATCCAGATCTCCATATTCATCTGTAAGTCTTATCTAACTTCCATTGCTTAGGGTTATTTAGAAAGGAGAGGATTGGAGAGAAAGATGCAGTTGTATTAAGTATTTGTTAACATTTGCATGATCTTGAGGTATCATGTCTTCCAAGCAATAACCAAGTAGAAGCGTGAAGGACAGATTATGTCAACATGAACTCATTCTGTAATTTGATTTTATGCCATTGTTTTGTGTGCCTTGCAGCCTCGACCTCGACGGAGTTGCAGTCCTAGCCAGAGTCCGAGGAGCCTGTCTCAATCTCGTCTGGCTTAGGTATGTTAGTTGTCCTTGAACTCCTAATCATTCATGTACTTGATAATAAATTTCCTCTTTCTATTTTTTTTAGTTTCCTTGATGTTGTGATGATAGATCTGATTGACAGGTGAGATCTGAACGCAGCGGAATTGTTGACTCTAGAGATCATTACTGAGCATGCATTTTCCGTGCTGCATTTTTAATTTGATAACTTGAACATTACGACATCTAAGACCCAATGTGTGTGGCTCTGTAGCTCCAACTAGTTTTGTATTTGAATTTTAAATTTGATATGTGAAGCCGTGAAATAAACCTAAACCTTTTGTGCATTTAAATAAAAAGTGGATGATTGGAACAAGAACTGAAATGATGTGTTATCAAATTCTGTTGCTGGGCTATGATGCATTCTAACCTGGCCTGGGCTTTGAGTACTTTAATCATGTGATATTGGATTGGCAAGTTATTGTTGTCTACTGGTGGTGTTAATGCTCGATTTTTACTCAGAATTTTGTTGTGGGTCTAAAGTGTATGCGTTTCAAGCAAGTTCTTTACAGAAATCAAGTGTTTGTTTACTTTTTTTTTAAAAAATGTTAGAAGTTTGTTTTTTTAAAATATATATATATATATATATATATATATATATATATATATATATATATATTGCTCGAGTGTTTTGTAAAAATTGTTCGTACATCAAAAACATTTCACTGAATATATTTGTTGGCAACACTAAAACCTAATTCCAATAAGCATATGTATCCCTTTTAAGTCTAGAGCTTTTAAAGAGCCTACTTCTATGTTATTTTGAGTTATTTGTTGGCAACATCGGATCCGCTTGTGTTATTTTGAGACTAATCAGACTATCAGAGCCTACTTCTATGTTAAAACAAATAAAAAATTCTGTATACTGTCTACGATTGTATTGCGGTGTGCTACGTCAAAGCAGTATGGTCCAAATTTAGTTTTTGTTACGGAAAGTTAAGCAGGAGAGCAAAGGGAAGATAATTGGCCCTGTTTGAATACTATTCTTAAAAATAGTTTTTTGATTTTCAGAAGAAAAAAACAAAAACAAAAACATGCTTTTGATAAGAAGAGTTTTAATTTTATTTTATTTTTGTTCTTAGAATCAAACTTATTAAATATGTTCGAGTTGTTTTTGTTTTGTATTTTAAATTTTAAATTTAATTTTCAAAACAAAAAAATAGAAAATATTTGTTTTCATAATTATTTTATAAAACAGTTTTAAGAACAAAAATTTAGAACGCAATCAAACAGACTGAATTATTTCTCAATGCATTGACTTGCAGAAAAGTATTCTTAAATAAAAATGTTATTCAGATATTAAAATCAAAAATACTTTTTTTTGTAAAAATTTACTAAAAATTAAATATATAAGTAAAAGGTTTGGTGTTTGTCATTTTAAATGACATAAATTATGTTATTTTAGGAGAAAGATAGACGCAGAAAAACGGAAATTATGAAAGAGAGAGTGTGATTTTTTTTAATTTAAAATTTAAATTTTCTGTGTCTGTATCTCTCTTAAAATGACATAACTTTCTGTCATTTAGAATGACAAACACTTTTTCCATAAGTAAATCCACCCTAATCATTCAAAAGCAAGTTCTCCATCAATTATTTTTGGTGCGAGTTGATGATGGCAGTAAGTGACGAGGTAATGGTGGCGGTTGAGTCTGACGACGGTAGAAGTGATCGGCCACAGTAGTTATGATGGTCGAGGCAAAATTGAATTTCAAGAGAAGAAATTGGCTTGTCTTGAACCTTTTTTCTTTTACTTCTTTCTTCTTCTTTTTATGTGGACAGCCTAACACAAATAAAAAATAATATTTCAACTTTTTGTCAGAAGTTAGAAATCTAAGGTTAAAAAATCATTTGAAGTTTTTTCTAAAAAAGAATAAAAATAAAAATTATGTCATGATACTCACTTTACTAAAACAATTGTAAAATTTTTCTGGGCTTTCAGCCCCCCACTTGTACTGAAAACAAAAAAAAAACAAAAAAAAAAACCAACTGTAGAAGTAACAGAAGTTTATCATACGATTTTTTAATACGGGCTACTTGCCCATAACTATCTTTGATAGAAACGATAAGAAATGTAAAATAAAAAAACAACTTTCACGTTAACCGCTGTTAGTGATTGGATACGTAACACTTGACAAACGATTATTTTTAAAACCATATCAATGAACCACATTTATTCCTAGGTATGGCAGTTCTCATGCGAGTTCCATACCCTGGTTCAATTCTTGCACAACAGTATAAAAATCACTCTTGCCATAGGATAGAGGTAAAATTACTCGTATACTCTCAATACAGAGCATTTGCATCATGGTCCTTATCAAACATAAATCGTTGACCCACTAACAAATCCAACCACAGCCGCCCATCCACTTGATTTATCACTTGAAATGACAACGCCCAAAGTATTTCTTCCAAAAACCGGATTTCCCCAACTAGATAACATGTTATTTTATGCCCTCGAAGGAAAAGAAAATAGAGGAAGAAAATGTCCATCACACTGCCACGTGGCTGCCAGAAAAATCAATTCCTAGGCCAGCCAGAGTATATAGTCTGCCATAACATGGCAGACCCAAAGGCCAAAGCCCCAAAGGAATATGTAACATTTCTCAAAGCATACATAAGTTCTGATTTTCCATAGTAATGGTAGTTTGCTTCACAGTGAACGGGACATAAGTGTATTACCGATTTTGTGAAGGCATCCTATCTGATCCTTGCCTTGAACGAAAGCTGCTGGACCTGTTACCTGGGTCTGACCTGCTGGTGGCCTGGTGGTATGCCCTCCAACCTGAATCTCTATCAACATGGCTCAAATGGTCTCTTTCCCAAGCATGGAATCGACTTGATAGATGGTTTTCTTCTTGAAAATTGCGTCCCGATGAACTTGATGGGATAACAAAAAAGCCACCAGTTTGGTCTGGTGATGTGGCCACAGGTGCTAATTGAGCTGATCCACTGTGACTGCTGGATCTTCGGGTTCCAGAAGCAATAGGTGTCCGCATTGTAGTTGAATTAGGAGGTTGCTGCGGTTGATAGTATGCCTGAAGAGCCTGGACTCTATCACGGGCCCGAGCATTGCTACCAGGATAAGGAGGGATCATTGAGGAAGCAACTGAGCTCCCCGCTCTAGCAGTAGAACTGCAGAAATTAAACACATTGAACATTGTACCCAGATAAAAAAAAATACATATGCATTTAATATGAAATTTATGACTGAAGCATATTTCCATGAGCAAGGGAAGATTCTGTAATCCATCGTTTATATCTATTAGTTATATATAACTAAGATTCATTTAGTATTTCACCCCTTAAGACTAAATATGAGTATATGTATTAAGGTTTGGCTCACATCAAATTTCATTTGAGCAAGTAATGACCTCACTTAAGCATTTTATTAAGGCACATCGACTATAAAGAGGTACCTGTGACCAACAAGGAAGGGATGCATAAAAGATCCTGATCTTGGTACATCCGAACCACCCCTGGCTGGCCTTTGGCTACCAGGTGATACTGAGGTCTGATCAGCAGCAACTAGACGACTACTTGCTGTAGAGAAAGGAGGAGAATGGTGTTCCCAACCGTGATAATGAAGATCCACAGCAGGAAATGCGTAGGAGGTTGGCATGTCACTAGGCACAGATGAGCCATTCCAGTGATTGAAGTTAGAAGGTTCTGAAACAGTTCCACCTGAATTCGAGGAGGATGGATGTATTGGTCCAAAGTAAGCAATATATGGGCAAGGATGACTAGCAGATGATACGGCTGTATGTTCAGCAAATATAGTAGCTTGTTGTCCCAGTATGTCATGATCTGCAACTCATCATTCCAGTACATTAATATGTTCAGTGAAATGCAAGCGTCAACTTTAAAAAATAAATAGATAAAATGAGAGAGAGAGAGAGAGAGAGAGAGGCTGACTAGCAGGAAAAAGGATCTTACATGCAGTTGGTGAAAATTCTCCTTCCCTGGAAAAATCAGGAACATAAATGAGTTGGATAAAAATCCTGCCATTTCCTTTTAGTGTGTGTGTGAGTGTGTGTAACAACTTATAGGTTTATAAAACTCCACTGTCAATTAATCCCAACATCCTCAACCTGCATGTTGAGCAGGCTTGGTCAATTTGGCCAGCATTATACATAGTACAATATTGCAAAGCGCCAATACAACCCAAAAGCTTAAGCTGGTAAATGAGGTTACATTAATGGTTTTATATATCTCTAACACTTGCTAGAGAAATATAAAAACCATTAATGTAACCTCACCTAATACCTTAAGTTTTTGGGTTGAATTGATTCTTTATATGGTATCAGAGCCTCCGTGTCACGGGTTCGATCCTCCCCCTCCCCCAATTTAATTAATAATTAATTATTTCTTGTGGAGTTTCTTAGCATCAGATAGGTGGGTCTGTGCATTATCCATCCTTCAAGCCCAATGGGCTCTCGTGTGAGGGAAGGTGTTAGAGAAAAGTATAAACCATTAAAAAAACCTTCACCCAACAGCTTAAACTTTTGGGTTGAAATTATTCTTTACATGGTATCATGTTAGAGAAGTAAAAAACCATAAATGTAGCCTCACCTAATAGCTTAAACTTTTAGGTTGAATTAGTTCTTTGCATGATATCAAAGCCTCGAGGTCACAGGTTCAATCCTCACCGCCATCCATTTAATTAATAATTAATTAAGTCTTATGAAGTTTATTAGCACAGGTAGGTGGGTCTGTGTATTGTCCACCCTTCAAGCCCAGTGAGCTTTCGTGTGAGGAGGCGTGTTAGAGAAATATAAAAACGATTAATGTAACCTCACTAATAACTTAAGCTTTTGAGTTGAATTGGTTCTTTACATGGTATCAGAGTCTCGGTGTTACGGGTTCGATCCTCTACGTCCCTCATTTAATTAATAATCAATTAAGTCTTGTGGAATTTCTTAGCATAGGTAAGTGTGCCTGTGTATTATCCACTCTTCAAACCCAGTAGGCTCTCGTGTGAGGGGGCTGTTAGAGATATATAAAACCATTAATATAACCTCATCTAACAGCTTAAGCTTTTGAGTTGAATTAATTCTTTGTACATATATAGCACTATTCTATTTTCCCATTTAGCATGGCAAGCCAAGCCAACCTAAAGGGTTCACCCCATTTTAACATGCCCAATTATACACATTCTTAAAGCTAGGAAAAGTTTTTTTATGGTTCAACAAATCAGAAGTATCATGTAACAACCTGTGACCCCACTTCATATTGCCTTCAAGTGCAATAACAAGAAACGAACTGAAACATTGACAAGGATGCAAGACATACAAGCCCAACTTGAAAGAACGAAGTGATACTTCTGCTGGGCATTCTCTTGGGGGTGGCAAAGAGTACTCGTACTAACTTAGTCAATTACATTACCAAAGAAGAAAAAGAAAGGTGCCAGGGGAAGGGTGCTTCAAAGTGCATCAGTCCAAGAGATTAGGGTGGTAACAAAGCACAGGACAAGGCTTCTCTAAAGTGAGCAATTAAGAGTATATCCATCCTTGATTTAAATTTAAAATGCAATGTGATCTTAAACCACTGGGTGGATACACCCTTACTTCCTCACTTTAGAGGAGCTACTTCCCAAAGCACACACAACAGCCTCGTTTCCTTATTCCTTTTTTTTTGGTGGGGGCGGGGGGGCGGGAGGGGGGAAGTATATAGAAAGTAGTTCCAAACATATTTCACACATTCCAAGACTTGTGATTGTGATAAGAAAAAGAAAAACTCCACTCATATTCCATAATTAGAGAGTGGAACGGGCATTTTGGGGATAGAGGGACTTGGACCCTCATGATTTCAAAAGTTGGCGGATTTTCCTCTTATTATAAATTTCATTGTTGTTGGAATTGCCATGTAGGATGGGACTCTATCTTTAGTTCAATCTTCAAATAGTTCAAGTTAAACTCAAAAGCAGCTTTCACTGAAAATTTAGTAGTTCCTACCAAAACTGCACAGGCCCATTATGTTCATTATGAATCCCAAGTCCAGTATAACTACTACACCAGAAGTCAAATTCTGATTTAAATAATTAGAAATAAAGAGGTCTTATTGAAACAAATACTTAATGGAGCAACTAAGAAATCAACATATAAAATTATACTGATGCTACTGCCTTCAAAATCTTAAATTTTTAATGCTCTTCTCAAGATTTCCACTAGGCTTTCTAACATTTTCCTTTTATTTACTAAATGGCTCGTTCTAAAATATAACCTGGACTTAGATGTATTAATACCATCAGTAACTTTAACCACATTTGACTTCAATTAACCTAATTAGGTTCCATATTTACATTAAACACGTGATTTCAGTTTATTACTTCTCATTGCAACAACCGCTTATAAAATATGTAAATGTGAAACCAAATTTACTTAATAAAAGTTAAATGCAGTTAAACAGGCAGTACCAATACCACTGAAAGTAAACCGGCCTTCCCAAAAATCCCTATGCAAGTTTTCTCGTAATGGACACAAACAAGAGCCTAGACACTTCAAACAACAAAAGAATATGACAAGTGACAAGTATAAGTCTATGAATTTAAAAATTGATCAGTTTATATGCACATTGTGCTATGTTAACAAAGCTTACTCGAAAGATGATGGAAGCCGTGTCAGGTTGCCAAAAGGGCACCAGTGAACTCCAAAGGACTGCAGAATCCATTTAGGAAAAAAAAATAGTCAAAAAGGTAATCAAATTATTATCTATCCACATAGTGAAAGAGAACAAGAAATAATTCCAATCAAAAGAGGTAATGCCAATCTTGAAAGTCCAACTACTTATGCATATAGAAAAAAGGGTTTCATCTAGCTTTGTAATTTATGTATAATAAATGGCAACGGAGAGAAACAATGGACTAAAAGATATTACTGGTACACTTGGTAGACTTTGACTTGCAGATTGGCAAAAAGGTATAGGAATGAAGGCATAAGGTAGAGGGGTTAAAATTCAATCCAGGTCAAACATCAGTGCGAAATATTATTTTGAGTAGCTAAGTGTATGCAACTTCCAGTCTTTCTTAAATCTAGATGGTAACTTTTCTTTTGCACATCATGCATAATTTTCATACAATTTTACAGTGTAGAGGAATAGAATTGAGGAAGAATTGTAGAAAGGTAGAATTTTTCTGTTTTATTTATTTATTTTCTTAATCTGTTCTTGCCTTTATATGGTTTCATCGACGGTTGATCCCAACTAGTTAAAGATAAAGATGATGTTGACCTTGATGTTAATGTTTATGATGTCGAAATACTGATGGACAAAGGCAAGAAGCTAACCACCCTCCCAAAAAAACATTCAGGAAAAAACCTAGCCATGCAAAGATCAAGTTTTCAATTTCTTTTATATATCAACATATAAGTACCTAATCATTAAAAGAGGTATTCGTGTAAGGCTGTGTTCTTCTGCAAGCATAAAATAGAATACAAACAAAGCATAAATATAGTTAACAGGACTATTACCATTTCAGAGTAGCCAAGATCATAAAGGTCCTCATCATGCGTCCAGTCATCCATGTTAAATTCTGGATATGACCGAGAACCATTAGCATAAAGCCACTGACCTTTCTCAATCTTCCGACAATTAGGGCATTGCATTACTCCTTTTATATTGAATGCTGAACCAATGCAATCTGAATGACATAAGGAAAGTAATAATAAGCATAAGAATATGATGCCGTGAGGATGGAACTATCAGCATGTTAGAAATTGATTCTAGTAAAACCATGAAAGCTAGAAGTATTGCCATAAAACATGACGATAATAAGTGTTATATATTTTAAAACTAAAAAGGGCCCGGAATTTTCCAATTTTGGTTGCCTCATGTCCACACCGGAACAGGATAGTTGGTTGGGCAAGGAGATTTGAGTAAGGGTCATATAGGCTCAATTTTAATGACAAGCCTCGATGTACCAAAGTTAATTGTCAAGCTCATCAATTTCTTTTATCATTTGTTGAGAACTATCAATGTTTTCTAGATTGCCTTTAATAATACTAAAAAAAGGAGAATAAATATATTGAAGACATTTAATTAAGCCAAAGAATAAGTCTACGACCAAGTTCAGAGTGCCATTAATTATGGTCTTCCAAAAGAGTTAACTTTTGCAAGTTTAACGAGAATCATGGGATTCAAGGGACACACCGTAATGCTCCCTTTGCCCCTTAAAGGCAAAAGCGCAAACCCCAGTGCACAAAGGCTCCCCAACTTTGCAAAGGCAGGGGTGAGGGTTAATTTTACGTGGCCTTTCCCTTGCATTTTTTGCAAAGAGCTTGTTTCCTATCATGATCTTCCGCTCACAAAGGAGCAACCTTTCCAAGGCTCAACCTAAAGTTACTGTTTAAAATCCACTCTCTGGCCTTTAAAATGAGCTCTTCCATGTTTATGGTTTATAACATTCCAAACAGGGATATGAAATTCCACCACATTGAATCCTATACCATACATATTGACCTAACTTCCCATAAAAAAATTTCTTTACTTCCTTTAAGAAACCTATGATCTTCAACAGGGAGTTGAGTATTACTTGCTACATCCCTAGAAATAAATGACAGTGCCGAGTTATCTTGTCACATAAATATATGCAAAAAACTTATACACACAGTTATTAATAGCGAATAGTACACTTATACTAACAAAGGCTCTTAGTACTACAGCGAATAGTGCATAGTGCAGCACATGTGATATTAAATATATTTGATATATTCAATATAATTCGAAGTAACAAGAATATATATGCAAATAAAACCACTGCTTGTATGTGAAAAACTAAGCTCACAATGATAATATAACTTAATCAACTCCGTAATCGTCCAAAGTTTAACTCAAAGTAACCATAAAAGTATAAAACGCAACATCAAACAGTTAACATAAACCATAGTTATCAAATGCGGATTGCGGCATGTCGCGGCCAACCCCGAAAAACGCTATAGCGTTATAGCGGGTTGCGGAAATAGCGGAATAGCTATATGATAGAAATAATGACAAAAAGAAACATTTTTTAAAGGCAGAGATAGCAGAAGTGACAAAGAGAGACATGGATAGACTAAAAAACCCTTAAATTTTTTCTGTTACACATTTAAATTTAGGACAAAATTAACAGTTTGCCTTATGACAACAATATGGCCGCAAATGCAATCGCAATGGCCGCTATTGCGTTCCGGTGCAGCGCGGAGCGGTTTCTTGCGGCGAGGCACCGCAACACCCATACGGTGCGGCTCGCGGCGCTATTGCGGCGCAATTAACTACTATGACATAAACAAGTCAATGTTGAGTTTTTTTATAAGTATAAATCATTTTGGTTATAAGTAGGATATGCATAAAAGAAGTTATTCCAGGTAGGGTGTGAAAGTCACAAGGTAGTAATCAGCTTGTGCTTTTTCCACCCTCCAAACCCAAAGGGCCTTCTTCTTATGGATGATGGAGATTGAACCTATTCTTGGGCCTAATAAATAAAGCTTATTGGACAATTAATTGTTTGACAAGCATCACTAAATGGCAGTATGGAACCTTACCACACTTAAATTAAGAGAGAAAGAAAAATTAAAGGACTAATTTATCAAAATATTTAAAATAAATAATAAATAAATTGCAAGAAGTAGCACTTTATCTGACTTTACATATTATGAAATTATTTTCATTCAAATTATCACACGATTGGTTTTTTTAAACATAACCACGTAGAGCCTTTTACCTGTCTTATGCAGTGTGAACTAAATTGACAATGCCATCTCTTGAATTTTTGTTTTAACTTCTAAGAAAAAATTTAAACAGTAAGCATCTCCTTCAGTCCAGATACTGTACCAACAATCACAACAAATAGATTCTATTTCTAATTATTTTAATATAGCTTTTAAAATCTAACAGCTTCCTTGACCCATTAAACTCACAAAACACAACCACCAACAAATGCGTACATTCAACATTGTAATTACCGCTGCTAATATTCAGCTAGAACATCACGCTCTTCTAAATAAGTTTTTCTATATAATGACCAACTGAAAATACTCATCTGCCAAAAAGCATTTTATTCTTAGATCTAATATAAAACGGTTTAATTCAGTAATATTGTTTACATAACTAGCCCAATATCATTTAAATATTATCATAGAAAGACTCGTTTCATATACACATAGGGAGTTTCTTCCTAGTAATGCCCCAATTAAATTGAACTTCTACACAAGTTTGACGGTCATATAATACTCAAACTGCTTTTTCACATAGCGTCTGAAAGCTGTCTTCCAAAGTTTATAAGTACACATTATAAAACCAGAAAAATCCATCCACTGGCTCTCTATATATGTTTGATTTTATATTTGCAAAACAGAAGTTACAGAATCAAGAATCTTAGTTCTAACTTCTTGTGGGGGGAAGTTCATGTCATGTACATCACTCTATCGGCTGTTCAACTTAAAATTTATTATACTTCTCATAGTTATACCATCTTATCTTTTATCCATGACATTCTTGACCTTCCTAACGTACTTCCTGAGTTCCTCACAGAATACTCAGGAATTCCTTGTTGTTAACAATACCAAATAACAGAAGTCAGTACATACAGCTAAACATGAGGCAACTACATATGCTAATCAGAAATTCGACCAATTTTTCTACAAGTTAGTCAAAAGGTCAAAATTTGAGTCTTTGAGCAATTCAAATAGAGCCAGACAGCTTCCAACTTCTGCGTACATAAAGATGATTTCACACCTGCTGCAAATCTTGAAAAAGTGATATAGATGTCCACAATTCCATCGTAAAAGCTAACTTCACCTTAACATGGAAGCCCACATAGCATCAAACGACACATGTAAAAAAAAAAAAAACACTCCTAGTAAAACCTGACTAGCGAGTGTGGGGTGGAGGTAATCTTTGTATGCAACCTTGCCTTTGCATAATTGCAAAGAGGCTGTTTCCTTGATTTGAACCCATGATCTTTCGGTAATGAAAGAACAGCTTTACCACTGTTTCGGTTCGCCCCATTTAAACCACTCCCCATTAAACACGACTAGCGAGTGTGGGGTGGAGGTAATCCTTGTAGGCAACTTTACTTTTGCATAATTGCAAAGAGGCTGCTTCCTGAATTCGAACCCATGACCTTTCGGTCATAAAAGAACAATTTTATCACTGCTCTGGTTCACCCCCTTTATCAAACGACACATGTAAACGAATCAAAATTACAAATATCCGTTTGAATTCGATAGTTTACAAAAGAATTTTGTCGTGACGAGACTTTCACAATAACCGCCCCTTTTGGCTTGATCACAATCAGTCAATGCACTCCATGAAAGTAAAAAGAAAAAAAGGAAATCCTATAACCTAAATACTTTTTAATTTCTGCATCGGTTATATAACGTCAACGCCAACGAACACATCATCGACAATAAGAGTCATGCATAGTTGATATTCTTATTTCTGCATCGACGGTAAAATAAAATTCAGATCTCAATTATTCTATATGAAATTGATTCGGGCGTTGAGATTCCATGACATTTATTCCATTATTTAAATGCATTCAAAGATGAGAAATTTCACTTACCGAGATGAAATTGATGGCCACATTGAAGCTTAGCCCAGGATCTACCTCCATTATCGGTAACGACATCGAGGCATATTGAGCAAGACACCGGACCGCACGAATTGCCTCCTCCACCATCTCCGTCATCCACCACCACCTTATTATTATTATTATTATTCTTATTATTAATATTATCCTCCTCCTCCTCGTTACCAAGACCCATTTCAAAAACCCTAAAATCGAAAAAAAAAAATGAAAGAAAGAAATAAAGAAGGAACGAACAAGGTTGTTAATTCAATTCGTGTTTCTCTATGTGTGTGTGTGTGTATGTGTGTGTGTGTGTGTCTCTCAGTTAGGACACGGATGAGAAGAGAAAGCTACGGAGACGAAAATGTAATCCGAGATCTAAAGTGTTTTGAAGGAAGGAGAGAGAGAGAGAAAGAGTTACCAACAAACACATTGCCTAGGATTTGCGTTTCGATTTTTGGTTTCTGTTTGATCAATTAGGTATCGTTGGATTCTTCTTCTGACTCATGATACCGACGGCTACGATTCATTGGCTGTGTTTCAGGTTGGTTTGACCTAGTAATTCTTTTTCCTTTCCTTATTAACTCTAATTTATTTATTTAAATATCTTGCAATCAGGTTTTGATCTGGTCTTCTTTTGTCGCTCATCCAACCACAGATTTAAAAAAAAAAATAAAAAAAATGGCATGTTTGTATTTAAAAAGAAGATAGAAAAATATCTATCATTTTAAAGGATATAAATTTATATCCTTTTAGATCTTAACCGTTGATTTCCGTCCATCAACGGTTATAATTTATTGGATTAAAATTATTAATTAATTAATAATAAATTTGGTCGATTAAGTTTGACCTAATAGATTAAAATAAGTGTGCAATTATATTTAAAATTTGATGGAGAGGAAAGTGTTTGTTGCTATTATTGTTCTACTCAACTTAACAAAATTAATCGATTAATGAATAAAATGTGGAGAAATTTAAAAAATATATATATATATATTAATATATTTAATGGGTAAGATATTGTAACAACCAACTAGGATTACTATCAATGTTACAATTTCACTGTTAAATCGATTATGTTGATCTAACGGTTATATTTATTTTCATTTTTGTATGGTTATGATTCTCCATATTTAATGTGAAAGCATTAAATGCGAAAAATCATAGTCATACAAAGGTAAAAATAAATATAAAGTATTAAATATAAGGAATCATAACCATACAAAAATGGAAATAAATATAATCGTTGTATCAACATGCTCGATCTAACGGTGAAATTGATTGGTAGTAACACTAATTGATTGTTACAATATTCTTCTTCTATATTTAATTATTTTTACAAATGTTACTTTAATCTTATTATTAAATTATCAGCGAGCTTAAAGCAAAAGATAAGGTTTAAATGTTCCATCAATGAACTTGTAACTATAATAAAAACGGTAAGATAATGAGTATTCTTTTCACTTATTCTCATTCAGTGGATTCTTAGCTTACATGATTTGACCATATTCACACCTTTTTTTTTATACATTGATCATATTCACACTTAAATGTTCAATAATTATTCTTTTTAAATTTATATAAGATTTATTATTAATATTTTTACTCATAATTACATCATTTATATTAAAATTTAATTTTTTCTACACATGAATAATTCATTACGTCATTATAAATTCTCGTTAAAATTTATCCCTTTTTTAATTTTGAAATTAGAAAAAATACCTTTACCTTATTTTTATAAAATAATAACAATAATTCCTTATATCATAATATGACGTGACTTGTGTGAAATTTGTGATCGAGGCATAGTAATTTTAGTGGGTATATCGGATTAGGATTCTAAAATATTATTTTGAGATAACAAATCTTATAGATTTTAAAATATTGTCTAGAATTATAGTGATTTAAAAAAAAGACTTTTTTTACATTAAAGATTTTATAAGATTTAAATTTAAATGATTTTAATAGAATTTATAAGATTTAGAAAGACAATATGGATTTATAAGATTTTAAAAAATCGTATAAATTTTTAACATACATTCAAAATTATAAAAGTCAATAAAAAAATTAACAAGGAAATGCAATGATATTAATAAAAAAAGTAAAATCTAATATAATTTTCTCAATCAATAATTTCATGTAACTTTATGTCCTACAAGCAACAACTCTCCACATATCTATATTAGTCTTCCACGCATTAGTATCTTCTCGCTCCTGCTCTCGGGTTTGACTAATGGGTTGAAAATTATCTTCTTCATTTGATATCAAAGCTATGATATATGATTATAAGACCTACAATTTGTTTTATTAAAATAATTCAAAATTTGTATATACAACCTAAAGTTTATGATAAAATTCTATTTGGAATTTTTTGCAATTGATATTGGAAACCTTGAGTTTTTTTTTTTGTGTGATGAGAAATTTCTAACCATATATCATATGCATAATTTCATTGAGTATTTTAAGAAAATTTTGAATATAAATTTTTGGTTTTTGTTACATGAAAGTTTAGAAAAAAATTAGAATTATTTTCAATTTTGACATGAAAATTGTTTGAAATTGTTTCTTATAGCGAAGGAATTTCGTTCATGAATATATTGTTACGAAACATAATGTTCATATTATGGAAATTTTAATCTTTCTTTAAATCAATTTTGTTTCATTGATGTAAAACGAAAATTGGTTTTGGGGTTTTTGTTCCCCTTTTATTTTTTCATTGTTTTATGTTATTTTTAATACAAAAATCACATATACGCGACCCATAGCTTGAAAAATCATTTTTAAAACTTTCAAAAATCCCTAAAAAATATGTTGCTTTTGAGATGGATTATATTATAATCTTATTGAGTTGTTGTTTCTGTTTATTTATATGATGAAAATTGCTAAAAAATATACAATTTTTTAGTTTTGATGAAACTCCTATGGCAGAACCTGATTTCAAGTGAGTCAACCACCAAAGGAAGAAAAAGACATTGCAATAGAGAAATATCAAAAAATTATAGGGATTAGGGTGAGATTGTGAGAGAGACATTCTATTTATACTTCTCACTAAAAAATCTCACAAAATCCATACCAATAGAAAATTCACTAAAATTATCAGATTTTTTAATAACCGAAGATTGTTTTTCCTTTGTTTACAATCCTGCTTGAATACTATCGGATTTGGACGGACTTTAAAATAATCTTTTAGGTGTATTGGATTGAGATTTCAAAGAATTTTAATGGATTATTTTTGAACAAAAAAATTCATTGGTATTCAATTAAGATTTTAAAGTATTGAAAAAAAATCATGTTATATTTGATTAAGATTTTAAAAGATTATTTTAGAGTCCGTCCAAATCCGTTGGTATTCAATCAGGATTTTAAACAAAGGAAAAATAATCTCGTAGACTTGTGGTATTCAAAAATTTCCGATTTTGATGGATTTTCTATTTGTGTGAATTTCGTGAGACTTTTTAGTAAGAAATATAAATAGGATGTCTCTCTCACAATCTTACCCGTTAGGATTTCTTGAGATTTGTGTCTTCTTTTTCCTTTGGTGGGTCGACCCGCTAGAAATCGAGTTCCGTCAAAGCTCAAAAACAATAGATTTTTGAGCGATTTTTATCACAAAATAACCCATAAACAACATCCCAACAAATTCATCTAAAAAATAGCAAATTCTGAAGCTATTTTTGAGAATTTTTTAAAGTTTAAAAATGATTTTTTAAGCTATTGGTCATGATTTTTCTTGATACGGAAATGTGTGATTTTTATATTAAAAACAACATAAATAGTGGGAAAACAACATGGGAACAAAAACCCTCAAACTAATTTTCATTTTACATCAATGAAACAAAATCGATTTAAAGAAAGATTGAAACTTTCATAATATGAACACTATGTTTCATAATAATACATTCACGAACGAAATTCTTTCGCTATAGGAAATGATTTCAAACAATTTTTGTGTTAATAGATCTCTAAAAATTTATTTTTCAAAACCCTCAAAACAATTTAAGATTTCAATGTATTGATTGAAAACAATTTGAGAAATTTTCTAAATTTTCATGTAATAAAACCCAGAAAATTCAGATTCAAAATTTTCTTAGAATACTCAATTAAAACATACTTATGTTATATGGTTAGAAAACTCTCATTACGTAGAACAAAAACCCCAAGATTTACAAGATCAATTGCAAAAAATTACAAACGGAAATTTATCATGAATTTTACTAATTGAGAAAATAATATTACATTTTTTTTTTTATATTAATATCATTGCATTTCTTTGTTAACTTTTCTTATTGATTCTTGTAATTTTGAATGTTTGTTAAAAATTCATATGATTTTTTAAAATCTTATAAATCCATATTGTCCTTTCAAATCTTATAAATTCTATTAAAATCCTTTAAAATTCAATCTTATGAAATCTTGATTGTAAAAAAAGTCTTTTAAAAAAGTCTATAAGGGGGCGTTTGGTTGAGGGTAAATTTTTTGAATACTAGGGAAATGTAATTGATAGGAAAATGGTTGGAAAGTGAGTTTAGTAGGAAAATGTAAAAAAAGTTGTTTGGTTGGAAAAAATTTAGATAGGAAAATTAGGTAACTTTTATAAAGTCTATGTTTGGATGTAGATAAAATATAGATGGGAAAAAAAGTAACATTTACGAAAATAACCCTGTTTCTTCTCTCACCAAATTTTCTTATCTCTATTCCTTTTTTTTCCCCAATTCTTCGACACCTAAATTCCCCACCGCCATGGCTACTACCCCTCCCAATAATCCAGAAATCATCACCCGTTCATCAACCATGCAGAAAAAGGGGTCAACATAAATAAATAGAAGCCCAGGTCCAGAGTTATTTGTGAGCGTTAAACAGCTTTTTTAGGCTAACACCTTCAACCACACAAACCAACACTCAGTTCTCCCCCACCATGCAAAGTCACTTCTTCCGGTCACAGAGTGGAAAAGTGGTCTTCAACACACCCAACGAAGCTTAGCTGAATCAGTTTGTATGTACTCAAATACTCTGTGACCGCACAATCAAGATAAGATCGGAGGGTATTGTGGTCTCATATATTGTGGCTCTACGTGATTTAGCCAGGTTTCTTTAAAAAACCACCTTCTACAATGGATTCTGAATAGTGCAGAAGCATAGGAAAATGGCACAAAAATGAGAATGGTAGGCATTGATCTTGCCTAGGTATTCACCCAATTCACTCTCAACCAAACGCATGCTTTGAGGAAAGCCAACTTCATTTGCATGGATTTATTTCAAAATCCACCCAACCAAACACCACCTAAAGTCTCTCCAATTCTGAATAGTCTTTTAAAATCTATAAGATTTTTATCTCAAAAAAATCTTTTAAAATTCTAATCCAATACACCCCCTTAATCGAATATCACGTGACTGTTGTTCAATCCTTTAAAATC